TAATGACTGAAGCAAGCATCTATTCACAAATAGAAAAAAAAAAAAAAAAAAAAAAAAAAAAAATCATGTCTCTCTTGGAAACATCCAGTGCTCCTACGTATCGTGCTTATCTCGGATAGGCTTATGACCTTCTTGATTCAGGTGTTTTCTTAACTTATGTAACTGTACTATACCAATAAACCAATAGAAATAGTATTTATATAAAAAACACTCAAATAAAAAAGATCTGGGGTGCAATATTTTTCCATTACATTTTCAATCAACTTTTTTTTTTTATTAATGAAAGTGTACAATTTCCTGAGCAAAACAAACTTTAGAAGTTAAGAATGGCATGAGGAAGATATTGCTAATCATAAAAGATATATGGCAATCTGTTAGGGCCACTCTGAAAGGCACTAACATTATACTTTGTACTTTGGATTTCCAAGGTCATCATTCATATACTAAGAATGACCCTATAGGTACATTTCTGACATATACTGCATACCATTAAAAGTGATTCTTAAGTGTTTTTTCTTTCCCAACACCAATGATGAAAAGAAGCCAAACAGCATGCAGTTCTAAAAAGCTGATCCAAGTATTAATGATCAGAATACAGCACAAACTCCTGAATATCTAAACCAACATTAAAATCAATCCATGGCTCAACAGCAAAACAAAAAATACCTTGCCTACATGAAGCATAAACAAAAAATCCACTTTTGCAATCTCTCAAGTGTATTCACACAAATCTCTCCAGAAAACACCTTACCTGCATCATGACGTTGACAAAATCATCTGCAGGAAGAGTTACCAGGTAAGGGTAAAGAGACATGCGCTTGTCCTGGCGGTTTGAGAAGAAAGACTGCTTCATGGCATCGACCTGATCTACAAAGGTTCTATAGAGTACCTCCCGCCACCGGCTTCTCCAGGCCTCAAGTTTCTTCCGCTGCAGGAGAAAAAAAGATCAGTGGGAGGGAAGAAATAGCCTCTGAGAGAAAGAAAGAAATCTGCATGCTACTTTTGCTCCAATTTACAAAGTTTTCTGAATATCATGCACATCTTCATAAAGTCCCAATTAAAGTGCACTTTTGACAAATGAAAGCAGGACACACATCTTTATAGGCAACATAAGTAAATATCTTAACCCTTCTATCCACTCCTTCATCAATCTCCAAAAATGAGAGACAAGAGGTGAAGGACTCATTAGAATGAGAGATTGAAACAGTCTCACACGTACATGGAAGTGAACTTCATCTGTCACATCTTTGTTCTGGATGCTCTCAATGGTGATCTCACTGCTGAGCTCGCATGCAAACTGCTCCTCTGCCCACTTATGAAGAGAGCTGCTTGTGGCCAGGTCACGAGCTGGTGATGGCACCTGAAGGGAGGGAGGTCATTGGGTATCAAGGCATTCTTAGAATGATTGTGATATCTTTTTTGTAAAAGGTTTCTGTGGAATACTCTTCTACGATTTTCTAAAGTATATACATTACATGTAAATGCTTACATAAAAAAAAAATAATAATAAATAAAAAGATTTACCTGGTTAGAGAACATGTCATTATTGAGGGAGCTGACAAGGTTACAGGCATAGTGCACCGGAGTGGGCCTCTGCTGGGCTTGAATGAGGGGACACACGCTGGACAGCTCTCAGAGCGCACTCATATCCATCCCGTATAAATCTACATCACTGAACACCTGTTGAAGCTTTATACCCTGGATTGGAAAGATAATGTAGTTTAGTAAGAATGGTCAGAGAAACTATGCTAATTGTAATAATAATGATAATAATAGTAATACACATACATAATTTTTCTGCATGTGCCAAAAGAGTTAATACTTTAGCAATACTTATTCCAAATCTCTAGTGGACATGCACAATGGCTACATACAGGATCAAACTTTAATAAACCTTTTGACCATCATTATCCCATTAACACCGGTATATTTGAAGCTGAAAATAAAAGATTCTGGGTGGCTACAAATCGGCGGGCGGAACTTCCCCGGAGTCTGTCCGCTGCCCGCCTGCCAACCTGGCCCCCGCGGCCCGCTGCTGCGTCAGAGCATGAACCCTGATACAGCGTCACACTGGTGGGAGCCCAGCACTGTTGATTTTTTGGGTGTCTCATGTGTGGGACACCCATCGTTATTGGGTTAACTTTTAAATTCAAATCTTAATCCTGTACACATGCATACAGAACTAGTTAATCCTATCAATCAGGTGTAATGTAATGTCAACATCATCAATTCTATGGAAAATATAGAGCTGAGTTCCTATTAATCTTTATTAGCAATAATAAAAACAAGTTTCCTTGGTCATGTCAAAAATCTACAGTACATATCCAGTATATATTCTGGTAAGTTATGGAATATTTTTATTGCAGATAAAACTCTCAACAGTTAAAAGGAAAACAAAAAGAAAATCCCCTGAAAATTCCAGGACTTAGAGACCACAGACCATGTTCAGATAACATTCCCATCTTGTGCACTTTATCAAATTCAAAGCACAAACATCCTGAATTCTATAGAGGAGAGTGACTGCAAAGAAATCTGTTATCAGCAAAATTTGGAAGAAGCTGCCCTGCAAATATATGGTATTATATGGTATTAACTTTTTGTAACCTGTATATAGGATGCCTATAAATAACAGTTCTTATAAGAATCAAGTACACACCTTTTTGAGAAGAAATGAACATTTACATCCCTCCTCACCACTATCTGATATTAACTATTGATTTTATTGCTAAAATTAATGAAATAACAACAACAGTAATAACAAACCAACCACATCAGTAACAAAACCATTGCTTAAACACCAATCCTCACCTCTCGCATCATGCTGGTTAAGGACCCTGGATATTCCTAGTGTTGTTAAAGGACTCTAATTGTCGTCCCAGGCAGCTGAGAAGGGCACCATACACTGCTGATCTGCTGGGATCTTCTCCTCCTGCATGCACCTTAACAGCTCCTCCATCTTGTTGAAATTACCCTAAGAGAGAAAAGATGAGGAGCATAAGAAGGAGAAAGACTCAGATGTGAGTGTGAACAGAACATGAAAGGTGTTGTTGGGTGTTTTGAAAATTTCTTTGTCCATTCTTAAAACGATCTCTCCACTTGCCCATTTTCCTGTTTACTTATCATGGATATGATATTTTTTTCTTGATTACTCTTTGGTTAGAAGACTCTGACATTGTTGTCTTCAGTTATTTTTCTTCTCATTCCTATCTCCTTTTTCCAAAAAAATCCTTTTTTTGTTCATCCCTAGAGTTCTGTTTTCTCTATTCACCATTCACTTTGTTAGAGTGATCTTCTCATTCAAGGTCTTCTCTGTTAGGACCACTTTTTCTGCATTCCCTTTATAACCAATTCCCTTTCTACAGCTTTAATAGCAAATAGTATCAAAATATAAGTTGGGCACACTGTCCTTGTAAATTACATTATAAACGACTATAATAGCTGAACGAAAGTCTTAAAAACTGTAGAAAATAACCAGATAATCTTACCATGCACCCCCCCTTTTCCCACTCCTATTCCAATCCCTCCTTACAATTTTTTTACCCTCTTTTCTATTCCAAACTTAACCACCTTCTCAGCATGTCCCTGTAGCAATATACGGAAGGGCCCTATGGAGGAGACCCTCATGCCGTTGGTGTACTTGGAGAGGCGCGGTAATAAAGCAGTGTGTGTGTCGCGCGGTTTAGCATTCCCACATTAATCTGCAATGAAATAATAATTGCAACAAAAATATTAATGATAATGATAATAATGATGATAATAATAATAATAATAATAATAATAATAATAATAATAATAATATAATAATAATAATATAATAATAATATAATAGAGAAAAATAACAAAAAATTACAAAAATAACAACAATAATAATAATAGAAAAAATAATAAAAAAATTATAAAAATAACAATAATATAATAATAGAAAGATCATACTAATACAAAATTACCAACAGAATATTAGCACTAATACACTAATAAAATAATAATAATAGTAAATGATAGTACTAATAATATTAATACTAATAATGTCACTAACAATAACAACAGTAATAATAATAACAAAATAACAATGAGGATGATTACAAAAGGCCTCTGAGATACTCACACACACACTAAGATACGACTCCAAGGACTGATTGAAGCTGATCTCACGTCCTCTTCTCTTGATTTCCTCTATGCGCTTTCTGGCTTCCTCATCCTGCTTCTTCTTCTTTTGCTTCTTGCTTCCTTAACATTTCCCATCTACCCCAGGACTACCTTCTGCTGCAGGAACCAATCCTTCTTCAGTGCTGCATAGGCTCAGTCTGTGCTGCAACACCTCTTCCCTTGTCAATTTCTTTGTACGAGTCCCGGTCCTATGAAACATGTCATCCTCCTCTGGGGTCTGCTCATTGTTCAAAATGGTCGTGTTTGTCTCTGTCATTACTGCTCCCTTCTGGGCCTTGCTCTTCTTTGCCCCTGATGTGGGCTTCTTCTTGCTGGAGGTAACTTTTCCTATTTTCTTCTTGTTATTACTACTCTTCTTATCTCCTGCCCCACTCTTTTTTGGGTTGTTTTGAGCACCTCCCTTTTCCGCTACATCCTCCGGCTCTACACTCAGTGGTTGCAGGGAGTCAAGCCAGAAGATGGGTGTGATGACAGGAGGGAACAGATCCATCTCAGAAAGTCCAAGCACTTCCTCCACCTCCAGCCGACTTCTTTCACACACCAGTTCCTCATCTACTGTACCGTCCCTAAGCCTATTATCACATGTTTCAAATGCATCAGATGCAAAGCTCTCGTCATAGGTGTGCGTAACACCTTCATTCCATTTACTGCTTCACAAATGCTGGGGTATCGCAGGGACTTTCTAGATGGGAATTTATCAAGTCACTGAATTTATCAAGAGACACTTCCTCAAAAAGGTTTCCGTCTGAATGGCTACCTAGCTTAGGCTCTGTCACTATGGTTGCTGTTGAAACACTACCCAGAGTCTGCTCCAAGGACAAGCTATTGAGGCAGGGTAACCTTTGTGCGCTGCTCGGACACACATTCATCTTTAACTGTCCAGGAGAAACAAAGGGCCTATAAAAACACTAGCTAATCATCAGACACTCTATGATAAGCATAATTACATATTAGAATATATTCTATGCTATGAGTAAAACTGAATTCATTGAAAACAATGTTACTGTTCAAACAGTAATGAGAATTTTATAACATGGAATATTTTCTTGTGCATCAGGAAATTCCCATTTTCCTTCCCTTACACAAATCCAATAAAACTTCATGTATGTAAAATGGTAAACAGTTCTCTACGCCATTACCTTGGATGATGTCAATAGTTGAAGCCTTTTTGGACCGTCTCTTCGGCTGGAGATTGTGGCATTGTGTGGATGTCTGTGTTGACTGGTAGCGCACATTTCCCCTTGTGACTGAGATATGAAAAAAAAACATTACTTACATGAAAAAATATATAAATATCAACAATATTCTGTAATTGCTGATAATAATACCAAAACCAATACTATTGCTACCAAAAACAATACTGATATCAATATCATTTTCATTAAAAAAAAAAAAAAAAGGTTAATCTAGAGATATGGAATTTTAGTAAACAAACATGAAATGCTACTAAAATAGAAGAACAACTTGCAAACTAATCGAAGAAGTCAAATTTAACGCCCGGAAAGACATAATTACATCCTAATATCAGAATAAAGTTCTTTCTTTGCTTATTGGCTAAGTCAATGTAAACAAACCATGTAACTCAGAAGATGGCATTCAAGAAAGTAGTACATGTGCTACCATCTATCGTCTGATAGACATTTGGTAAAATTTCACGTTGATTTCGATATCTACTCCCCAAACGATTTAAAGTGCCATTATATTCATTCATTTGACTAATTTCTCTAATCTATTCACATTTTGTGCTCTTCAAAATTTGGAGTGATGTCAATGTATGGCACAGTGATAAGTCATTGGCCATTGGGTCAGAAGTTATGTCACCGTGATCGCATGTGGAATTTGAACTGCCATGTGGGGACTTGGGGAGTAGCCCCTGGGTTAGGAAGGTTTTTGGTTTGTACAGCTAGGGAAACACATCCATTGGCTAGTGAAGCACAGTGATCACAGGGGGGTCTGGGGCATAGCCCCCGGTTATGAAGGTTTAAAGTTTCTACAGCTATCTTTGGAGTAGTTTATTTGTTTAGGCTGGGGTTCATTCATTTTGAACTTTCATTATTATATGAAATGTGATTCTTGGCTAGGGTTTTTCCTTTCTGCACTTTCTTTTACTTTTTAAATTACCTTCACATAACCTTAAAAAGGTCATTTTGTGGGAAATATGCCTTGTCTTTATGAAAAGCCTATTCAATTTACAGTTTGTTTGGTGGGCCTGTATGTGGTCCCCCCCCCCACCCTGATTCCCCGTGTCCCCCATAGGGGACAGGAGAGAAAATATAGGAAAAAACAAACATTCCATCTCCTCTAGATAAAAAAAAAAAAAAAAAAAAAAAAAAAAATATATATATAATTATATATATATAAATATATATAATAATAATATATAATAATAAATAATAAATAATAATAACAATAATAATAATAATAATATAATAATAATAATAATAAAAATAATAATAATAATAATAAAATTAAATAAATAAATAAAAGAAGTTAGGATGACAAAGGATGATATATGTCATAACACTGTATTACAGAGGATGGCTTATGTTTTCTCACATCAAGAGGTCTAAGCACTGGGATGCCATTTTTTGTGTGCTACTGTGAGCCAGACAATCCCTTGGCATGGAGTGGAAAGCACTAATGATTGCTTCTGCTTTGAATATTTGATGTTTAACAACAGAAATCATAGCTGTGATGCAGATGCCAGATAATGGTTGTGAAATTACGAATCCCAGAGTTTTTATAAACCTCCTTCGTAATTTCAACACGCTCTTACTACAACATACATGGTAAATCTTGGTTGACTTTAGAAGCCAATGATTGCTTCCCACCATCATCTTTGGGTGTGGTATATTTCTAATATCAAATTATCTTTTATTCACAATCAGCAATAAATATGTAATAAAACAAAATCATCTTAGATTTCATCAATTTCATTCCCTTGTATTCTTTGCCTTTTGTGTGATGGGGGGCAATTACTCCCCCCCTTAAAAAAGGGGGGAGGTACTTCTCCCTCACAATATTTATTTTGCTCAATTATATTGCTGTCAGGTGTGACCCAACCATTTCCCAATAAATAAGGCAGTAGCAAGTGGGTTATTGCAATATAACTATCTATTGCTTTTGACAATCAGATATTACCCCTCTAAATTAAGGGTTGCATAATGTAAACAAGGCATTACATTTAAACTAGCATTAACATTGTCTTTGCCTCAGATGTGATGTTTTCATTAATATGTCTTTATTATTACTGAGTGACCATTATGAAGATTCTGAGAAAAAATATATTACATTATATACACACACATAGATAAGCCTTCAAAACTTATTCTA